ATCCAGTTTCCAGTGTATGGGCACTTGGGCTGTTTCCAAGCTTTAGCTATTACAAACTGTGCCGCTATAAACATGGGTGCACATATATCACTGTGGTATGCTCATTTAACTCTTTGGGGAAGATACCCAGCAGGGCAATAGCTGGGTCAAATGGGACCTGTAGTCCTAGTTCTTTGAGGTATCTCCATACTGATTTCCACAGTGGTTGTACCAGTCTGCACTCCCACCAGCAATGGAGAAGGGTTCCTTTCTCCCCACACCCCCGCCAGCATTTGTTATTGGTTGATTTCTTGATAGCAGCCATTCTTTCTGGAATGAGGTATAATCTCAGTGTTGTTTTCATCTACATCTCTCAAATGACCAGTGATATCGAACATTTTTTCATGTGTTTATTTGCTGTTTCTACTTCTTTGTGTGAGAAATGTCTGTTCATTTCAGATGCCCATTTTTGGATTGGGTCTTTCAATTTGGAAGGTCTGATTTTTTTTCAGTTCTTTATAGATTCTAGATAGTAGACCTTTGTCTGAGGAACAGCAGGTGAAAATATTTTCCCAGAGTATAGGTTGTTTCTTAGCTCTTGCAGTGGTTTCTCTTGCAGTACAGAAGCTTCTTAATAAGATGAGATCCCAGTTGTTGATTCTTTGTGCTAGTTCCCGTGCTACTGAGGTTTTGTTCATAAAGTCTTTTCCTATACCAATATCTTCAAGAGTTCTACCTAACTTACCTTCCAGCAAGTTTAGTGTTTCTGTTTTAATATTTAGATCTTTAATCTACTTCGATCTTAGTTTAGTGCGCGGTGATAGATATGGGTCTAGTTTTAATCTTTGGCAGGTTGAAATATAGTTTTTCCAGCACCATTTATTAAATAGGCTATCTTTCCTCCAATCAGGATGGTTGGCTCCTTTGTCAAAGATGAGGTGGCTGAGTATGTCTGGAGTTGTTTCTGCATTTTCTAACCTATTCCACTGATCCTCAGGTCTGTTCTTTTGCCAGTACCATGCTGTTTTTATTACAGTAGCTTTGTAGTATAGTTTCAAGTTGGGGATTGTGATACCCCCTGCCCTGTCTCTCTTGCTTAGAAATGCTTTTGCTATTCTGTATGGAACAGGGAAAGGGGACGTTACTAGAACCTCTGCAGTAAGTCCTAGTCTCCTGCGAGCCACGGCAGCACACAGTGAATTACAGGAAAGGTAGAAAAATGAGACTTTGAGAAGAAGCTGAGCTTTGAGTCTGATCAGTGCTGCTGTGAGCAGCAAAGACAAAACCCCCTAGCTTGCAGCACCTTTTATTCAGTACATGGGAGAAACAAATGTAACAAATGAATATGTAGAGTTCAGTACTTCACCTTGGGATAAACAAGGTGTAACAAAAGACTAGGGGGGCGGTGGAAATCTAAGAACAATGAGGAACTATGCAGATGAAGATTTGCTTCTTCCCAGGGTGCCTCCTGCAGGTGTGGTCTTGCCCAGGAGCATCACAGCATCACCTGATCACTAAGGCATCAGTTACGACAAGAGCCCAAAATGCAATTATGTCTCTGAATGCCATAGCTGGCCTATAGGTTTAAGAACTAGGCCTAATCAAATGATTTTTCCCTAGAACGTAGCATTGCTCCCAACACTATTCTAGGTCTCTTCTGGTTCCAAATGAATTTTTGAATTGTTTTTTCTAGCTCTGTGAAGTATATTGTTGGAATTTCAGTTGGTATTACATTAAATCTATATAGAAGTTTTGGGAATATGGCCATTTTCACTGTATTGGTTCTTCCCACGCAGGAGCAAGGGATGTCTTTCCATTTTCTTATATCCTCTTCAGTCTCTTTTTTCAGAGTGCTGTAGTTTTCAGTGTAGAGGTCTTTTGCTTCCTTTGTTAGGTTGATGCCTAGATATTTCATTTTTTTGGATGCTACTGTAAAAGGATTTGTTTCCCTAATTTCTCTCTCATTCAGTCTGTTATTTGTGTATAAGAAGGCTATTGTTTTTTGAGTGTTGACCTTGTATCCAGCTACTGTACTGAATCTGTCAGTTAAGTCTAGAAGTCTTTTGGTGGAGTTTTTTGGGTCTTCTATGTAAAGTATCATATCATCAGCAAATAAT